CCGCCGAGCCGCGCAGGAGGCGGGAGCCCGAGGAGCCGGCTCCCTCCGAGGTGCTGCTACAGCCCGGACGCCTGGAGCTGGGCGACGTGGAGGAGGATCAAGTGGTGGCCGTGTTCGTGGTCACCTTCGACCCCCGCTCGGGTGAGAGCCGCGCGGGGGCCGGGGGACCGGGGCTGGGGCGCACAGGACGGGCCGCCCCCCGGACCCGGGGCGCGGGGGAGGGGCTCGCTGCGCGCGCATCCGCACCCCCACTTCGCACCCTTCTTCGGCGCCCGATCCAACTCCTGCTCCCGCTCTGCGCCGGGTCCTGGTTCTCCCGCTCGGGGACCGCCGCATCCCAGCCCCCTCCCGCGGGGCGGCCCCGCGGGCTTTGTTCCCCGCACCGAGACCCTCCTCTGCTCTGCGTCTCGGTTCCCGGGTCCTCGCCTTCCCCGCGTCCGCGCCCTCCCCGCAGTCGGGCTAGTGGCCACGTCGGCTTTTGTTTTCTTTTCGTGCGCGGCTGCAAGGTTTTTCCAGCTGAGAGGAGGAAGGTCTGGCAGGCGAACGCCCCCTCAGCACGCCCTCAGCTTCCTCGTCTCGCGTTGCCCGCCCTCGCTCCCCGTCGCCGCCGGGGTAACTTTCCTAGCGGCCAAGTTCACTTTCTCTGACGGCATTATTTTGAGGAATTAATGGGGCTAAGGGGTTCAGCTGAAGGCCAGTTAGAGGAGAAACTGCCGCCAGTAGGCTCTTTCTGGGACGTTTGGAGCATTAAAAGGCTCATCGCACACGACGTTTAGCCTGACTTCCAGTGAAGAGGTGTGCCTTTAATAGTTGGGAGAGTCTGTGTGGGATAAAAAGTAAAAGAACGAACATCCTCAGCGGGTCGCCTGAGAGCTGGTCTGCCGCTGGGTGTTGCAGGAAAGAGGTGTTCCCGCCGGAGTCAGGGCCCGGCCTTGGGGACCCAGGTGCGTCTGTCCTCGGCATCTCCAGTGGAGCTGCGGCTCTGTGCGCTGCCGATTCTGAAAGCAAATATTTGCTGCCTTTTTAGGGGTTCCCTCCTGGTCCTCCGAGCCTGACGGTAGAACCATTCAGAAGAATAGAGGGGGTGGGGACGTGGAACAGGAGGAGAAAGGTTCCATCTGGACACCTGGAGAGGGTATTCCCATGTGGCAGAAGATAATGCAACTTTGGTCAAAGATTCACTTAGCTGCCAAGACCCAGGAAATGTGGTTTGCACTGAGTTGAAGCCACAGTGTTTGTGGAGAGAATTCACTCAGGCCTTTCTGGCTCCGGTCTGTACCTTTGCCCCGTTCCAGTGGCTTTTAGACTGGTTTGACTGTGATACACTGTTTGAAATTAATCCTGTGTCAAACCCATATGCTTGACCGATATGGTACCTATGTAGCTGAAACAGAAGTTTCATGAAACAGTGTTGGTTCCTTCTACATGCAGTGCTTACTGGTATTTTCTTTTCTTTCTTTCTTTTCTTTTTTTTTAAACTCATATTTGGTAAGATACCACTACAGGTAGTTTGGGGGGAAAAAATTGGTCTTTTTTGACCAAGTAACGCATAATGCTAGACAAAAGCAGATACTTTGTAACAAATTATATTCCCTGCGCCCTAGCCCATCCTTTACAAGTAAATAGATGGAGCATATGATTCCTCCTGGGAAGTATGGAAGAGTGTAACTAGACGAAAAGGAAAAGGGCACAATAACAGAATCTGATTTTAGTGGTAGTTCTAGTGGTAGAGTCTGGGGCTGGGAGGGCAAAAGAAAGTTCTTTACTGAGCACAGATAGAGCTGACAAAATTGATAGTTGATCAGTTGTTGACAGTCATCAATTGATAAAAGCAGCAAAGGGCTAGGAGCCTAAGCCATGCCTTGTCAGTCCCAGCTAGTGAGCATGGTTTTGAGTTTGTGTGTGTGGAGTGAGTGTGTGTAAGGAAGGGACTGTAGCTGATAACTGGATGCTTTGTATAGGCATTTTACCGTAATATCTGGTGAATGTTCTAATTGTACTTATATAAAATAAAATTAATACGGTATATTTCTTAGAAGTAAAGATAGAATGAATGCTACGGAGCTCCTCAGGGCCTGAGAACTTAGCAATAGGGCAGGACCCTCAGAGGATGGCTGGTGTGCCCCTGGTGTGCTAGCTGAGGAAGTCATGTTCCAGGGAAGTGAACTGAGGCCCACAGTGCCCCAGTGAGCTGGAGACCAGAATTATGTCTCTTGATTTTTGTCCAGTGTCTTCCCCACTCTACTCCTGAGGCCAATCTGCTGTGTCCCTATTCATATCAATCAATTGAGACTTTTGCCCTTTCTTAGCCTGTGTCACCAAAAGGAATAAAGTGAATGTTGGCTTCTTTGCAAAATCCGAGCATTCCCAGGAATTATTATATGGGAGTTTCTCTGGTTGGCCTACCTGTGTAGCTCCTCCCCTCCCCCACATCTCTCTCACCTGTGTCTTCAGTTTCCATTCCCAGGAGCTCCTCCTTCCCCACTACGCCAACTTCTCCCCAGCCACCTACTGCCCAGGGCACAGGCATTCTGTACGTTTCCCACCTGTGTGGGAGACTGTTTGCGTATGGCCAAATCAGTGTGTGCATGAGAGAGAGATGGGGAAGGACAGAACCTATAGCTGTGGTGCACCTCTAAAGAGTGGATGGATATAAATTGTTAGAACGTGTGTTTTGGGGATGTGTGCAGTGGTTCTCTGACTAAGGAATAGGAATAAGAGAGTCATCTTTTTTCACTTTCAGATGCAAGTTTTAGAAAACTGGGTTCCATAGGGAGAATCAGAGAAGGTAAAAGCATAAAGCTTATTTTCACTGGACTCATGAAAAGAAAATGATAGTTGTTGGGTCTACAAATGATGTGAGGATTTGAACTTCAGATTCAAGGTGAAGCTTATACACACAAACTCAGGCTTCTTCTAGAGCGGGGAATCCTAGGATGGTGGTGCTGGCCATCTGGGCTACAAAGCTGCTATTGAAATCAGGCCCAGATGTGCACTCTGCAAATTGGGCGGAAGAAGCAGGCAGCCAGAGTATTCCTTTTTCATTGTATTCAACCCCATGATTTAGAACCTCAATTTCAATTTTTATTTTGTTCCTTGGGTTTCTAGTAAAATTTTCTTTTCTCGGCTTAAAGGGTATTGTCACACTGGGGAGTCCCCAAGCCCTTTGTGGCAGCAGCTGTCCGCCTGTGTCTAAGGATTTGTGGGTGGGCTAGAGTCTGATTAACTTTTGGATCTACAGTGTCTGGATACCTGTGACTCTGCCTCATGAGACTATTTCTTTATGAAAGATTCACTTTTACAAACTATTACATTTTTACCAAAAGTTTTCCTGTGCTATGTGTGTTTGTACTGGAATGGCTTCAAGTGGGTGTAGTGCAGTAAGGGGCAGATCACCTGCTTAGGTTTTCAAGATGTTTCTTCTTCTTGATTAGGAATGAATTTCCCTGGGTTTCTAACCAGTGCCCAAATAACATCTAAATACCTGTTTAATTCAGTGCATCTAAATGCTTCCATATTTATGTCAAATGGGTATATTTAAAATCACTCACATACAGTGATTTTAATCTCCATAGATTCCCTGTATAGTCCACAAAATATAAACATGTCTTTGAAACAATGGACATGTTGGCGTCCCAGTGAGATAAATGCTTAGTCTAGTGTCTGAGGCATAATTTGGAGTATTGTCCAGGTCATCTGACTCATGGCAAATAGTAAATGGCTCTAGCAATGGGTGGGAAAGTGACAGCGTAGAATGAGAATGGAAAATTTGGAGGATTTTGAGATGCAAAGGGCAGTCTTAAGAGTGGCCAGCTCAAACGCAGGCAGAGTTCTGATATCTGGCAAGAATGTCTGGTAGAAAGATAAACTGGCATGTCACTGTCCTTTCTCATTTTCAATCAGATGCCAGTAGAATATAGTTGTGGTTAATTTGATTAGTCCCTCCCTGGCCAAATCTTTCCCAGGCTATTGGTGACTCACCTGCTTGTGGTTTTCAGGGAGAAGTCAGTTTGTGGCCATCTGTTGGGAATTCAGTTTCTTTTCTTGAAAATCTATGGAGAAGAAAGTAGGAGGGATAATTGTAATCACCATCACCTCCTGAATGCCCCCCCCCCCGCCCCGTGTGCCAAGGACCTTGCCACCTGTTTCCAGGGCCTGCCTCTGATTCTCCCAATGGTCTTCGCTGGGATGATGACAAAAGGAGATATACAGAGCCTTAAGTCATCTAAAGCCAGAGAGCAGAGAGGGTCTACACTCCTCCCTCACACCACACCCCTGCCCAGTGGAGAATTCTGTGGGATCTGTGATATGGAAAGTTATTTCTTTGTACAGTTAATGCATTGGAATTCAGCCATGGATTGGCCTATGGCTGCCTTGAAAGCCCCAGGATTAATTTCTTCCTGAGTCAGGGTTTTTAATACTTTTTCTTTGCTTTGGATGTGCTCTTGTCCTAGGTGGTTTTAAGAGTGTTTCAAACAAGACCAAAAGTCAGTTCACATGGGCTGTGTCTTGGTGTCTGGGGTCTGAACCAAATACTTTTTTGAGGTTTGTTCCGTCTCTGAGATTTGATGGCCCCTTTAGGTGGCTAAGTAAAGGGAATGTGTTGTTGGGACCAAGAATGTTCCTTTATTCCTGAGACAGGCAGGAGTCTTTTTTACTTCCTGGCTGGAATTAGGGCACAGGCACGTACTGAGTGGAAGAAGCAGATAGAGCGAGTCAAGGCAGGTGTTGGAGAGGGGATGCCGGTGCAGAGGCCCTGTGGAGGACAGGGGAGCCGTGAGAGGACCTCAGGCTGAGGCAGACCCTGCTTAAGACATGAAGATCTCAACAAGTGCTTGATTGAGAGCCACCCAGCAGAGGGAGAGGAAGGAAGAAATGTCACATATTTCCTATTAAATAAAGAACTGTTTGGGTTCCAGATCACTGCTTTCTCTACTTCAGATATTTTGAGGCAGCAGTAACAGCAGCTGATGTCTGTTCTCCTTAGGAAATGGTGGTTTATTTATTTATTTATTTTTTTTTTTTGAGGCAGAGTCTCACTTTGTCGCCCTTGGTAGAGGACCATGGCATCACAGCTCACAGCAACCTCCAACTCTTGGGCTAGGGTGATTCTCTTGCCTCAGCCTCCCGAGTTGCTGGGA